ATGATCACCCATTTGAATTTAAACAACAAAAATCACAACAAAAAACGGTCACATTTAGTGTTCGAGTCAACATAACATGTTTTTGTTTATAGTTTTATCAAGATGTGTTACACAGTCTTTGTGCCGCGATGTTTACAAGTAATGCATACACGTGTCTGTCTATTTAAAAGAGTCACAACTAATGAGAAACCCGTAGTTATATTTCATTTATAGATATTTAAAGACTAAACTCCAAATTTCGTCATGGTTCATTGTCTTTATAGTTTGTTTGTTAAGTACCGTACATTGCAAATCTTGTTCTGGTCATTGTGCGTTTTGGCTATTCAAAGCCGATCAAAAAAGTAAAAAATGTGTATGTAACTATTGCGTGACAACTTTTCAAACCTTATTTAGGTAAGTACTTAAACTTATCAAGTAAAAATACTTTGCATTCGTGAATTTTCTGCTCCAGAACATTTTCGAATCCATGACACATTAATAGGAAACTCCCCGAAAATCTTTGAATATGCATGATATGAACGTATATTACTTCAAGACGATGTGTCGCATGTTCTCTTGACCTTCGTGTGACCTTGACCTCAAGATCAAAATACTAGATTTTCAGGTATATTTTCGCGAAACCTCTGAGAGGCTGGATTGCAATCAGATTCTGCCAAATGGGCTCCTCTTGCTGAATTTAGTTATGTTTCACGTTATACAAAGACAAAATTCAGGTGTTTTAATTTTCAATATGAAATGTTAGAAATGTTAAATAGTTAAGGCGTTCTCGGAGGAGTGAACGAGAGGTTTGTACATGGAAACATTTTATGGTTACAGTTACTCTTGCAGTCAGTAAATTCGTAGACACTTTATTTAATTTCAGCATTTTGGTACATAGTAAGCTTTTTTCATAAATATGATTTTTATGAACACTTTTCTTGTAAATTATTTTTACAAAAACAGGTTATTGGCTCAAAAGGTGTACGATAAAGTGTCTATGAACTGACTGAATGCATGAGTGACTCTATTCATAAAAAGTGTCCGTGTGTCTTCGTATACGAGCGTTAGCGAGTACTTGTCATGAAGTAAGGGATTATCATTCTCTTACAAACTTAGAATATTGTAAAGTGCTCAAGGCTCAAATAATCTCTTGATTGGTTGTATTCAAGAATTAGTTTCATTGTCAGTGCAATGTTTATAATTCATGCATGACTTCCTTTTCAGCATTTCATTTATGGATTAGTTTTAGTGATGTCAGGACTTTCTTATAATTTGGGAAATATTTAAAAAAATGCGTTATAGACATTAGGTGACACAACAGTACAAAGAAAAGGTAGGAATGGTATATGTTTCCTGATTGTGAGTATGAATGTAAATCATGTAATATTTTAGTGAGGAATTATCCTTTTTTTTAATTTACATTTTCAATCAATAAATACATTTGAGTTAACACAACTGATTTTATTTCAAAGCCAATATATTGGTCCGGATTTTTAAATCAAATACTATTTCATTCAGTCAGGGGAATGTTCAAATAAAATGTCTTTAAAAGTTTTAAATATATTCAAAACTTAAATTAATTTCCTGTTTTTTGTGTGTCTTTTTTTATTGGAAGATTGGGAATAACTATTTTTCCCAACTGCTGGTCCAGTAATCAGAGTTTGGAAAGCTAAAGATTTAGGTTATTTTTGGTTTTAGACTTTTTTTTTCTTTTTTTATGCATTGTTTTGATATTATTTAATTTTTTTTAGGAACTTGAAGTTATTAATATTTTCATAATAACATTAAAGGTACCAATTTTACTGCACCAATAAACTTCAACTTATTTTTTGTTTGTTTTGTTTGTTTCACAATTCAACTTAGTCAGTTTCAATCACTGTGTGATAAATCCTTTCAATCTGATAAATGTGCTTCCGGGCAGTTGTAACTCATTTATAGAAACTCGTTGTTTTGAACTGTAAATAGACCTAAATAATAGGATAATCCCTTACTAAGAACATGATTTACATTTATCCTTCACAATTAAGAGACATCAAATCCTACAATTTCATTGGTCGAGAGCACTTTGCTATATTCTAAATAAAAAGTGTCAATGTAACAGCCGTTAATGTACTGTTTTTCTATAGCTCTGCGGGGGTCAAAGTCGTACAAGAATCTGTTTCAGTACATACATCTTACACAGTAAAGAACTTTCAAGCAACAGTTGAGTCACCTTAATGTATGCCATATTGTTGTTACAAATAAGCAAATACCTAATTTTTTAATTGTAATGACATATTATTAACAATTTATTGTTACAAGTTTTAATAGTTCTTTATCATGGGTACATGTATAACCGCCGTACAGTTGATTCCAGACGTTGCTGCATATCGAACTGTAGCTGGTAGAACGAACGTCCAAATATTTTTGTTCAAAGACTAATGGCCGTAAGAATAAGTATTCAATGTTTATAAAAATAAAGTTTACTGCTTCCTGACAGCATTGTATATTATTCATATTACATGATCACCCATTTGAATTTAAACAACAAAAATCACAACAATAAACGGTCACATTTAGTGTTCGAGTCAACATAACATGTTTTTGTTTATAGTTTTATCAAGATGTGTTACACAGTCTTTGTGCCGCGATGTTTACAAGTAATGCATACACGTGTCTGTCTATTTAAAAGAGTCACAACTAATGAGAAACCCGTAGTTATATTTCATTTATAGATATTTAAAGACTAAACTCCAAATTTCGTCATGGTTCATTGTCTTTATAGTTTGTTTGTTAAGTACCGTACATTGCAAATCTTGTTCTGGTCATTGTGCGTTTTGGCTATTCAAAGCCGATCAAAAAAGTAAAAAATGTGTATGTAACTATTGCGTGACAACTTTTCAAACCTTATTTAGGTAAGTACTTAAACTTATCAAGTAAAAATACTTTGCATTCGTGAATTTTCTGCTCCAGAACATTTTCGAATCCATGACACATTAATAGGAAACTCCCCGAAAATCTTTGAATATGCATGATATGAACGTATATTACTTCAAGACGATGTGTCGCATGTTCTCTTGACCTTCGTGTGACCTTGACCTCAAGATCAAAATACTAGATTTTCAGGTATATTTTCGCGAAACCTCTGAGAGGCTGGATTGCAATCAGATTCTGCCAAATGGGCTCCTCTTGCTGAATTTAGTTATGTTTCACGTTATACAAAGACAAAATTCAGGTGTTTTAATTTTCAATATGAAATGTTAGAAATGTTAAATAGTTAAGGCGTTCTCGGAGGAGTGAAACGAGGGAGAAAATAAATAATGTTATTTAATGTTTGCAATTTTTAAGCATTTTCAAGGGAGCTTTTGTGAACAAGGTTTGTAAAAATAGGTGCATTTATCATTCGGTAACATTATGTAGAACGTCACATGCGGAGTGTTGGCTATGTTTGACACGGGGTGGCAGTTTAGAAGCGAAGAAACCCATGATTCTATGTCATGTCATAACTTTGTATTATCAGATTAGTAATGACGAACGAATTTTCAGTTCAAAATATATAAGTTTTCTACTCGATATACATATAGTAAGGCATTTTACTTGTAGATAAGGACAGACTTATATATATAGGAGCGTGTAATTCAGTGGTTGTCGTTTGTTGCGGTGTAATATATTAATTTTTCCTTCATTATTTTGTGCATAAATTAGGCCGTTAATTTTCTCGTTTGAATTGTTTTACATTTGTCATGTCAGGGCCTTTTATAGCTGACTATGGGGTATGAGCTTTGCTCATTGTTGAAGGCTGTACGGTGACCTATAGTTGTTAATATCTGTGTCATTTGGTCTCTTGTGGAGAGTTGTCTCATTGGCAATCATACCGCATCTTCTTATTTTTATATGATCCTTGTTTTAATGAATGTCTGACCCCGTGAGATGCAAAATCTGCCACTCTCTTCAAAATTAACTTTAAAACTAAGAAATGTTGACTAGGAAGAAAGCATTAGGTCTCATTCTGTGATTTGAATTCTTTTCTATATAAAAAAAAGTACGGAAATAGGTCGCTGGAAAGTAGTTTTTTATCCAGAGATTTGCATTTGAAATCTCAAAATCAGCGACTCGGAAAATTGAGGATGGGCGTTTGACAAAACATAGCACTTTTAAACGCTGATTCTGCTTGTTGGAAATAGATTATGGGTCGGTTCCTATCGTGTAATACATCGTTGGCTGCTAACAATTCTCAAAAAAATGAAAACTTGATACTTTTATTTACCTTGATTGTTTTTCTTCGCTTCGAAACCCCCACCCCGTGTCAAACATAGCCAACATCCCACGTGTAGCGTTCTACGCGGCGAGTAAGTACTGTAACAGTTCGAGTTAAATTGGAATTCTTTAATTTATATTGATGACTTAACATGCATATAATGTGTACAGTACATTTTTGTATACAAATTGTGTACATAACTCAGCATATTTTTAATATCATATAACGCCTTCTCTTAGCTTGTTTTTCACTTGAAAATGCAGAACGTCTAGAATCAACTGCATTGCGGTTATAACCTGTGTATATCCAAGTAATCATGAACGATAATTTTGGAATTTTTATTTGTAAATATCATTAATATTAAAGTCAACAAATGAATATTGTCAGTCTTTTGAATGTCAAATTACCACATAAACGACAATGAAAATTCATCGCACCTTCAAAAATCCCACATAAGAAATTATCGCACTTACAGTGATAATGCATAGCACGTATAGTTAAAATGAATCACTCTCAAAAATCCATATTCTAGATTATGTTGCTTTAATACCACATTTTTGGACTTTTATCCTGTTAGTGTACATTGTTTTGTAACATTCTAATGAAAATGTGTTAAAGCATACATTCTACAACGGCACTTTATATACACTGTTTCTTTTACCTTATCATTGTCTATATTCCGTGTAAATTATATGCGATTGCGTAATTTACACGTTACACTTTTGTTTTTTTTTTATCTTGAAACTATGGATTAATAATTGATATGAAATATCATTTCTTTCAGATTTGACGATCTTCTCGTGCATATTACAGTTGATAGCGAAAGCAATAAAGAGGGGTGGAAAACAATGAAAGAAGAGAACATAAGAAACCAAAAACATCGAGACCGCATTGAAAGGTTTTATTTATATTATCTTTTGATTGGGTTTTTAGTACACGTGATATCTTCGGAAGTTTTTCGGACGCGGTAATGATTCATATGGCTGTTATAGACTATTTTTGTAGCAGATTCAAAAATAACTATGCACGGGTTTATTTATAGTTGTTAGAATTTGCTATAGAGTATTTTTTGTAGCAGATTCAAAAATAACTATGCACGGGTTTATTTATAGTTGTTAGAATTTGCTATAGAGTATTTTTTGTAGCAGATTCAAAAATAACCATGCACGGGTTTATTTATAGTTGTTAGAATTTGCTATAGAGTATTTTTTGTAGCAGATTCAAAGATGACCAGGGATATACTTCCAGTTGTCGAAATTACAATCTCGCTTTTTTAATTTTCATTTTTATGACCTAAACGAATGCGACTTGTCGCCGGACTTTTATTTGCCTTAAATATGTCGACGGGTATTACTAATTGAACAGGAACTGACTTATCCTTGCGATACACCTGTATTCACCGCCTTGTTTTGGTTGAGTTTGTGCTGCTCGATCTTCAGTTTTTGTATGAAGTTGTTAGTGGGTCGCTTTTAGCTGGTGGTTTTTTTCTGAGTGTTTTTAATTTGCCACTTTGCTTTCTGTATTTCTTTGATTGATATGTTTTTGTTAATGTGTGCTTTTGTTGTGAATACATGATGATAATAACATGGCCACCATTGCTAGAAATAGAATGAATTTCATACCAACATGGCCACCAATGCTAGAAATAGAATAGTCATACCAACATGGCCACCAATGCTAGAAATAGAACATACATACCGACATAGCCACCAATATTAGAAATAGAATATTCATACCAACATGGCCACCAATGCTAGAAATAGAATATCCATACCAACATGGCCACCAATGCCAGAAGTAGAACATACATACCGACATAGCCACCAATATTAGAAAAAGAATATTCATACCAACATGGCCACCAATGCTAGAAATAGAATAGTCATACCAACATGGCCACCAATGCTAGAAATAGAACATACATACCGACATAGCCACCAATATTAGAAATAGAATATTCATACCAACATCTAGAAATAGAATATTCATACCAACATGGCCACCAATGCTAGAAATAGAACATACATACCGACATAGCCACCAATATTAGAAATAGAATATTCATACCAATATGGCCACCAATGCAAGAAATAGAACATACATACCGACATAGCCACCAATATAAGAAATAGAATATTCATACCAACATGGCCACCAATGCTAGAAATAGAACATACATACCGACATAGCCACCAATGCTAGATATAGAATATTCATACCAACATGGTCACCAATGCTACAAATAGAACATACATACCGACATAGCCACCAATATTAGAAATAGAATATACATACCAACATGGCAACCAATGCAAGAAATAGAATAGTCATACCAACATGGCCACCAATGCTAGAAATAGAACATACATACCGACATAGCCACCAATATTAGAAATAGAATAGTCATACCAACATGGCCACCAATGCTAGAAATAGAACATACATTTCGACATAGCCACCAATATTAGAAATAGAATATTCATACCACCATGGCCACCAACACTAGAAATAGAATAGTCATACCAACATGGCCACCAATGCTAGAAATAGAATAGTTATACCAACATGGCCACCAATGCTAGATATAGAACATATATACCGACATAGCCACAAATGCTAGAAATAGAATAGTCATACCAACATGGCCACCAATGCTAGAAATAGAATAGTCATACCAACATGGCCACCAATGCTAGAAATAGAACATACATACCGACATGGCCACCAATGCTAGAAATAGAATAGTCATACCAACATGGCCACCAATGCTAGAAATAGAACATACATACCGACATAGCCACCAATGCTAGAAATAGAATAGTCATACCAACATGGCCACCAATGCTAGAAAAAGAACATACATACCGACATAGCCACCAATATTAGAAATAGAATATTCATACCAACATGGCCACCAATGCTAGAAATAGAATAGTCATACCAACATGGCCACCAATGCTAGAAATAGAACATACATACCGACATAGCCACCAATATTAGAAATAGAATATTCATACCAACATGGCCACCAATGCTAGAAATAGAACATACATACCGACAGCCACCAATATTAGAAATAGAATATTCATACCAACATTGCCACCAATGCTAGAAATAGAACATACATACCGACATAGCCACCAATGCTAGAAATAGAATATTCATACCAACATGGTCACCAATGCTAGAAATATAAACATGGGGTTTTTGATTGATTGATTGATCGGTGTTTAGCGCCAATTTCAGCATTGTTTGCTATTTTGTGGCGGTCAGTTTTTTATTGCTGGAAAAGGCCGGAGTGCCCGGAGAGAACCACCGTCATTCGGCAGGAAAACTGGCAAACCTTGTCAATCAAGATTGGAGTCAAGCACACCTACCTTGCTCGAACTCACAACTCAGTGTTGACAGGCTAGTGATACAGTAATTGAACGAATAAGTCCACTCGGCCACAGAGGACCCTCAACAAGGGAATTCAATGCAAGTGTTGTACATTATTATAAAAACCGTTAACAATATAGGTCTCTGGTTGATAGTTCAATTTGTATCATTTCCAACCATACCACATCTCCTTATTTACATATTGATTGGGTTTTTTCGTCGTTTTTCTTTATGGTCATGGTATTTTATGTCTTGCTTCGACTTCTAGATTTCGATTGCCCTCTTTGTTCCTCTTTTTAATTATTGTAGCTGATAATCAAAAATAAAATTTCTTAACTGCATACATCGTTTTTACAATGAACATAAGTTACAAATGTCTTCAACTAAACGGTAACATTCATTGTCTTAGATAATGTTATTCAACTGTACATATGTTGTTTTTTAAATTTATTGAAAGTTACTCTACACCGGTTAAATCTTAGTTTAAACATAATTTTTAAATACGTGTATCATTAAAGGTGTAAGACAATCTTTTCGAAATGTATACTTTCCTAATATTTCAAAAGTATTGACTTTTTTTTATGAATTTTATTATATTTTAATTAATTTATATTAGTACTAAGATAAACATTCATGTGAACTATTTTTTAGATAAAAATATACAGTTTGATATATATTGTCATCTTCTTTTTTTTGCAGAATGCTATGTACTTTTGGAAATGATAGGTAAATTTAATCAAATAGTCATTTTATGAATATTTCAGTACTTAAAACATTATTTAAGGTTGTTGAGACACTTTCAGGACAGACATTTTATAATTATATATTGACATAATCACATATTAGTAAGTAATTAACTTATTATGTTTATTTAATGGTTCATTATAGAACTATTGAGGCGGGCAGATTTCTTGATTGGCTATATTTTTGAAATGAGTTTCATTATTCCTAAATTCAATTCTTTATTACTTTAAGCATATTATACTTATCAGTACACGAATAAATACAAATACATTTTTATAACACAAAATGGCATAATTCATCAGAGAAGCAAATACGCATCAAGTATTGTCTACTTACAGTTCAGTCCTATGAGTAAGTCCATCAGATAGGAATTTACACAGATTACGCAAATCTTTGACATTTTCAGTACTGAGAAGTTGAAATAATTTGAACGACGGTGAACGCCTATAATAATAAGGTTGAATTAACTGACTCCTTAAATCTCTATAGCATTCACGTTGTACTACAAAATGGAATTAATCTTCAATGGTATTCAAAGTACAAAGAGCACATTTTCTGTCTAACCTTTTTACTCCATGATAACGTACAATCTAAGACGAGTTAAATACACTATAAAATTCATATGTTTAGTGAGATTATTCTGTATAAATAACACTGAGATGAAATGTTCATTTGATCATTTAAAGTGTGTTTTGATTGATCATGTATTCCTGTTTTTACAATCAATAATAAATTACTTTCAATAATCAAACCAACTGTTTCTATTATTACAAAAATTATACAGTTGTTCCCTATAACAGTTTTTAAGAATACAGTTGCTTGTGGATAATAATTTTAACCAGTACTTTACTATTTTATACATTCTAAAATACATGAAAGGTTATCGACCCAATTCAAAATAGACCATAACATTTGTTGTACTCTGTTTGACACCGAAAATATTTTTGCAAAAATCAAGTTGTATTTTTCAATATTTGGAGCTTTACGGAAGCCCCATATTTCACAACCATAACATAGTATACTACTTATATAAGTATCAAACAAATTCAAATATGTAAAAACATTCAAATACAATGATGAAACCTTCGACTTTAAATCAAATACAGCTTTTCTACTTTGCTCAACTAAATGGCAGTGAGCTTTAGCTTTACCGTTAAGATTTAACAGTACACCAAGGTTACAAAATTCATCAACTATGTCAATAGCATTGTCATCATAATACAATATTTCTTCGTCTTTCACAAATCCTCAGTTTCTAAATACCATAATTTTTGTTTTGGAAATATTTACAGTCAAATCCCATTTACAAGTATATAATAAAAGTATATCTTACATATCGTGCAAGCCAATACCTGAATCAGAAAATAAAATCATGTCATCAGCGTACATAAGTAAAAATAATGATAAGTCTTGTATACGTACTTCATACATGTGGTATATTACTATTACGTAATAGGAATTCCATTTCAAAGTCATTGACATATAATGAAAAAAGTATAGGAGAAAGCACTTCTCCTTGCATAAGACCAACTGAACTTGTAAACTGCTCAGAATAAAAACCATCAATTTTCACACATACTTTTACTGCGGAATACATTGATTTTAAAACAGACAGCAATTTACCTGTTATACCAATTCTTGACAGTTTCAACCATAAGTTAATTCTTGATACGGAGTCAAATGCCTGTTTGTAGTCAACGAAGCAGCAATATAAACGTTTTTTCTTAAAAATTGCCTTCTGGACAAGTGTCAACAAACAATCAATTGCATCAACAGTGCTGCTACATTGTGTACCAGGGCGAAATCCAAACTGCGCATCGGTGATAATATCATTATTTTCAACCATATTAATAGCCTTGCATTTATAATAGATGTAAACACGTTCGCTAAATTACTGACCAAACTGATTCCACGATAGTTCGCTGGATCGGATGAATCACCTTTTTTAAAAACAGGAAATAACACTGCGAGTGCCCAAGATTTCAGAAAAAGGTCCTGACGCTAATGTCCTATTGAATATCTCCTCTAGGAACGGTAGCAGAATATCTTTGAATTCAATGAACAACTCGTTAAATGTATTATCAGTACCATGACTTTTACCACGTTTAAGGTTAGAAATACACTTCAGAATTTCATCTTGTGTAATCATTCGATCAAGTTCATCATATGTTGTGTCGGAAACGGTCTCTGGACTATCGAATGCCTCATTAACACAATCATTTGTGACCAAATTTCTAAAATGCTCGAAGAATTCTGAAAGTTACACATCAGAAATTTTGGCTCTCTTCTTTTGAAACAGTTTGTAATATTTCTTTGGTTCGCTTTTACGCACTGCATCTATCAGATCACCTTCTTGACGCTTATATTTTCGTTTTAATTTATTTTCTAAATGTTTGTACTGTCTTTTAGACGTAATCAATATTTGATGATTTTCGACATTTTTGTCTCTATTAAATATATACAAAGAACTTATATAGATAGATCGAAGTCTTTTGCACTCGTAGTTATTCCATGGTTTGTCTTCTTTATAACGGGTCGTCTTACTACGGGTACGATCACATGTATTATATGAATTCTGTGAGTTACAAAAGACTGGGGAAATAACTTTCATCAAATTTGAAGTAAAAGATTCAACATAATTGTCAATACCCTCTTGGAATTTTTCAATATCAGAAAATACTATATGGCTAAGTGAACCACTGTTTAAAGTTAAAGACTCATAACACTGATCTTGTAGCTCTTCTTTCCATCGGTAACTAATATATGTATTGTTGGACTACCACAGTTACGCTCGGGCTCCTGTGAATCGTTTAATATGCACTGCAAACGAACATGTAAAGGCGCGTGGTCGCTGAAAGAAGTGAAGTTACAAACAATAAACTGGTCTACAATGTGTAAAAAATCATATGGAACCAATACGTAGTCCACAACACTCATTCCCCGGGAACCACAAAATGTGTAGTCATTAGCTAAGGCAGCCTTATGCCGTTCATAATACGTAGTCCAGTGCTTCTTCACAAATTTAACAATTTTAACCCGTTACTCATTAGTACTTTGATCTGGATTTCTTCTTACTGGTAAATTTGTGTCACTCAAATACCCCAAAATATGGTTGAAACTGTAAAAAATGGGGCCACATACATTGTCATTTTTTATAAAATCATCAAATATAGCAGTTCTTGCATTCATGTTTGTTCATGCATTATATTTTTTGTTAAATTTATTGTACTATTATGCCTCATGTGAGGCCTTTAGTGAAATAAAAAGTTTCAAGTTTCAAAGTTTCAAGTCACCTAATAAAAATACCTTCGCAGTATCTGATGAATATTTTTCAACAGAAGTTAACAAATCATAAAATAAATCACAATTATACATTTTGTAATAATTTGAATATTAAGCAGGAGGTAAATATACACATCCAATATAATAATCAAACCCACAAGTTGTTATATCGCTTGACACCTTAAGCCATTGTATCGTTCTGAATGTCAACTACTTCAACATACTTTGCAAAACAGTGATTTATTAACAAATATAGTCCACCACCTTGTTTACATTTACTTTTTAGTAATGAGACTGGCTTACAAATATACCCATCTATAATATCATCAAATGACTTATCAATCCAACACTCAGACACAATCACAATATCATATGTTTCAATGTAAGATAAAAAAAAATGGCTCATTGAGTTTATCATGTAAACCAACATTGATGTTCCAATACAAAAAGTTATTAGAGGAGATGCTTCCCGATGTGTCATAATCTGCGCCCGTGTGTATATCTGCTAACACTTCAAAGCAGGACCCACTAGACGAGCCATCACTCACTAAAGATTTATTAGGTTTTGTACTTGAAATGCTAGGTGTTTTTTCGGCCCCTGAATACCCTGGACCCGACAATGTATCAGACATTCTATCAACAGACTGATCACGACGTGCAATTTTGAATAGTTCATTTGATTTAACCACAGTCTGCTCACCATCAATAAAAAGTTTATCTTTAATAAGCGACACTCTTTTACCTGCCTCTTTTGCTTTTTTATACACAGGAAATAATAGTTTGCGTTTTTCGTGGATAGCTTTTGGAAAGTGTTCAGAAATTGAAATGGTTGACTCTTGTAATTTTTGAGAGTTTTGACGTACATTATCCCTTTTCTGACGTTTTATAAATTTTGCAATTATGGGCCCGGCTTACACATATTCCGATTCGACTTGTTGATGAATTTCTTCCCCATCCTAAAGGCAGATGCTATTTCAATTGGTTCTCGAACTTCCAGAGATGTAGCACACGTTTTTAATGCTATCAACACAGTCTTCATCCTCCACCTACTCGACACAAAAAAACATCAAATTGTCCCTCAAGTTTTCACATTGTAGGTGTTCTAGCTGATCAGCCATACTCTTGTTAACAACACGTAATGTAGTTACATCATCGGCCATGATAGCCATGTCAGATTTATTTTTTTCGAACCCTGCAGATATAAACTGCTGACTATTTTCAACGTTCTCAACTCGTTTCACAAGGCCATAACAACTGTTCCCATGTTTGTTAATTTAGAGTCAATGCTTATAACTGATGACTTTATTTCATCAACCGATTTCATTTTCGATGTAAGATTATCAATTTTATTTATCAGGTCGGACATCCATGGGGGTGGACTGCTGAGCGAAATAGGGGGAGGGAGGTACAAAGTCATTCCGATATGCGATGCTTGCTGTAAAGGATAGTGCTGAAACATAGTACTAAATGGATTTGTGTCCTGTGATGATGGAAAATTGACCGTTGGCATCACATTAACACCAGATGAGTTTGTTATTGTTTGTGACATATTAAAAATGGCGGAGGAATCAAACGCACCACAATCAGTTTTACTTTGAACACGATTTCTTTTTCATCAGCTCGTTAATTAGTTTATGACACACTGACCATAATATAGCGACCAACCAACACAAAATACATCTCAAATCACATTTTTTTGA